AAAAAAAAAAAAAAAAGGAAGCTGGAGGATCTGGGGACTGTAATGTTGAGTGAATAATGTAGTGCATGAGTCACATGATGAAAAATTAGAGGATGATGACATAAGTCAATTTGCCCATTATCTGGAAGCTCTACCATTCTATGGAAGAATACTATAGTTTGAAGATCTTGGCATATGGCCTACAAAACCACTACCATCTATTAAAAAATTGCCAACTCTTGAGCTCAAGCAATTGTCGTCACATTTGAGATATGCCTACTTTGAAGATTACTCTACTCTACCAGTGATTATTACAAATAAAATAAATGAGTTGGAGGAGTAAAAACTGTTGAATGCTACGAAAACACAAAATAGCCATTGATTGGTCAATAGCTGACATCAAAGGGATCAATCCTTTAGTGTGCATACATAAGACACTAATGGAGGATGAGTATAAGCCATCAGTAGAGAGGTTAAATTCAAGCATGAAGAATGTGGTTTGAGCTAAAATCGTAAAACTTCTTGATGCAGGGATCATCTATCCTATTTTTAACAGTAAGTGGGTAAGCTCAGTTCAGATAGTGCCTAAGAAATGAGGGATAATAGTGGTGAAAAATGAAAACAACGAACTGATACGAACAAGACTAGTTATTGGATGGCGAGTTTGCATCAACTATTGGAAAATGAATAATGCTACTTGAAATGATTACTTTCGACTGCATTTATTGATCAGATGTTAAAGAGGTTTGCTAGACATTCACATTGTTGTTTCTTAGATGGGTATTCTAGATAAAATCAAATTATAATAGCTCTAGAGGATCAAGAAAAGACCACATTTACATGCTCTTATGACACCTTAACATATAGAAGGATGCTATTTGGGTTATATAATGCTACAACGACATTCTAGCGTTGTATGATGACAATCTTCTCAAATATGATAGAAAAGTTCATTGAAGTATTCATGGATGACTTCTCAGTGTTTGGATCTTCATTTCACGATTGCTTGTCAAACTTGGGCATGGTCTCAAAGCACTATGAAGAAACAAATTTAGTACTTAATTGGAAGAAATGTCACTTTATAGTACAAGAAGGAATTGTTCTTAGTTATCGAATTTTAGCTGATGGGATCAAAGCAGATAAGGCAAATATTCAGGTGATAGAGAAGCTGCCTTCGCCAACATCAGTTAGAGGAGTACGCAGTTTTCTTGGACATGCAGCATTATATCGAAGATTCAAAAAGGAGTTTTCAAAGATCACAAAACCTCTTTGCAGCTTAATTGAAAAGGACGCACCATTTAATTTTTTCGAGGAGCGTTTGACATCTTTTAGCACTCTTAAAAGTAAATAATTTCAGCACCCGTGTCAGCTGCACCAGATTGGACACTACCATTTGAGTTAATGTTTAATGCAAGTAATTATGTGGTAGGATCAATATTAGGTCAAAGGCGAGACAAGATACTTCAAGTCATCTACTATGGAAGTCGAACATTGACAGATGCACAGTTGAACTATACCACCAATGAGAAGGATCTACTTGTTGCAGTGTAATCTCATTACAACAAATGGAGTACACTTTGAACAAATTTAAGTTCAAAACATACATCTTGTTATACATAAGAAATGAACTACTTTTCGTTGTGGAACGAAATCGAGGTTTGGACATATCCGGTTGTTGTGTTCAACAATACCCTATCTCCTACACTTACGATGTCTAGTAGGACTTTTGCTCTCAACTATCATCTTGTGGAATTATCCAAACTAATATGTTTTCGACTAGGAATATGTCCTTAGTGTAAGCATTTCTCCAATATTCAATCGTGTATTATAGAAAACACAACCCATAGCAAGATATTCCTTGGACGCACATGGCCCTAGTACGGGCGACATGAGTTTCAAGTCAAAATTTTGACATGTATATGTTTTCTCTATTGCGTTCATAAAGTATATCTAATTTCCCAAAACAACCAACGTTAAATATTCGACACATTATGCAGTCTAAATCATGTTTCGACATCAAATATAATGTGTAGTTCAGCCTCTAACCTGCATGGTAGCGTAATACTGCAATTGAATATCAAATTATATCAATCAAAAACCGTTGTTGCATGAATGCATGGACCATTCCCCATTGTACGATATCATGACGTTGTAGCGATCCCAAGGAAATAAGGCCATTGACCACATCTAAAATTTAGCCCATGTCCAAGCATTAGTACAGACCTTCACTCATACTTCAAATTTATTGCGTACAATATTCAAAATCAAATGCAAGATACACAAACACCACACACTTGAAATTACCAATGTAACGCTTTTCATTATATCTCTTCGTTATATTACTTTTCAAATGCCACACCCACATATAATGTATGTGATGAAATTGTGTGAATACTATTTTTAATCCCACAACAATGTCGTCATAACGTATAAACATAACGAGAAGATTTTTGGTGTCACTAAGTTGTCTTTAAACCTCTTCAAAGCCAACTCCACGATTCGTCATTCTCCGAATTTACTATCCCCATTCAATTGAATCTAGTTCATCTCTTGACCGGAGGTTGTCAACAATATTCCTTTGTAGATTCCCATCAGATACTTCCTTTGATGTAAGATAGAAATTCAAGAATACTAGCTCTAAAAGTAAGGAAGAAGTACAGAAACATGTGATTCGCATCTGTTTGAATATGCAAAACTCTCCTTTATATAATTCTCCTTTATATAATATTTTACATAATGATAATATGTCAAAATATAAGTTAGAAAGTTATTTAATTGATGAGATTTTGATCCAATTAAATTTGATAACGTCATTTGTTGATAAATTATCACGTAGCTCAATTCATTTGCTACTTTGAAAATGTACCTTTATTTTTTATATTGGTCAACAGCCTGTATGAGGATTTGTTGTTGCACCTGACACTTGTTCGTGTAAATCAAATTCTCTCAAGAACAGCTGTTCACCACACCTCTAAACAAACTTCTGGTCATAGCTTAAACAGAAAACATACATTTCCTATGATGTCTCAAAATATTATCTTCTTCTTCAATTTGCACACAGGATCATTTTGTGGTGATCTGACGTAGCAGAAATTTCTATTATGGACGCCGGGGAGTCACCCCCGGCGGTTAGTTTTGGACAACGCCGGGAACTTCCCGGAAACCTGACAGATGATTTCTGTGAAATTGATATACCACTCCATTCTGCCGGCGCCTGGGACATCGGTGGAGCCAGAAGCTTTCTACATTATGTATTACCCCGCCTTCAGCTGCAGCTAGCAGTCGTTTTTCTGTTCACTCAATCCCTTCATCTCTTGCTCAGGCGTTTTCATATGCCCCGCATTTTCTCTGAGCTCCTGGTACTGCCCAGAATTCGAGTTTATTTTATTTTCTTTCGTTGGATTTTTGTTTACTTTGTGCAAATTATTCAATTGCATAAGTATGATTGATGAAGAGTAAATGGTTAATGGATTATGATGAGATTCTAAATTCTTGATTTTGTTCGTAGATTTTTCTCTAAGAAGTAAAATAAATAATTGCAAGATTCTATATTTTGATGCTATTGTGTTTTTCTTTGTTTTCTGTGTGAAGATTATTTGATTACATGTATATATTGATTAAATTCAAGGTTCTTAAGGATGTCAATAACAAAGTTTTCTTCTTCTCTTTTTCGGGGTTCTCTGGCAATATTATTAGAGTGCCTGAAAATATTGAGAATGTCATAAGAGATGCAAATGCAAGATCAAAGATTCCGATTTCTTTATGTTTTGATTTTTTATTTTCGGTTTATCTCGTCTTGGATGAAGATTATTCAGTTCCATGTGTGTATGTGATGAGCTCAAGGTCCTCTGGATGGATGTGCATAAGAGAGGCAAATGCATGAATTCAAGATTGAAATATCTGAATAGAATGATTTTTTTTTTTGTTGCTGTATTCATTTGTGTTGAAATTACTCTGAAAAACTTGGTATATCTGAAAACACAAAATTGATCGATATTCGTCAATGTTTTTTTGCTTGTTTTTTGATACATACAAGTGTTTTTTCAAATCCAAAGGAAAAAAAACTCTAATTTTTTTTCTCTAGACATAGAATAACAGAAGCTATTGATTATAGAACATCCACAGCATGAATAACAGGATAAATAATGAAATTGAAGCAAAATCTCTCTGTGTGTAATTTTGATAACATCCGAGTTTTCCCGTTTGTTTTTCAACCAGGCTGGTATAATACTGGGACCAACTGTTCTGGGACAGATCCCAAACTTTCGAAAGACACTTTTCCCACAAGAAGGAGACATATACATCGACTTATTAGGCAAAATTGGCTTCATTTTCTTTATTTTTCTCAGTGGAGTGAAAATGGATCCGAAAACAGTAATGAGAACAGGTGCCAAGGCATGGACAATAGGAGTTGTTGCTGCCACCTTTCCAGTTTCTATTGGCTTAGGGTTTGGCGCAATAGCTGAGAAAGTTATACACAGGTACCGATGGCCAACTTGCAGGAGTATTGTTGGAATACAGAATTTATTCGCATTTCCTGTAATTGCTTCCATGCTTGTTGACCTGCAAATCATAAACTCTGAGCTTGGCCGCCTTGCATTGGCATCAGGACTGATTAGTGATTTTTTGAGCGGTCTTGCTCTAAGTTCACTATCCCTTTACATAATTGGGAAGTACTCCTTTGCAAAAGCAGTGGGAGCACAGTCTGTTATCTTAACCATTGGTTTAGTTTTACTTATCATTTTCATCGGCCAGCCTGTTTCACAATGGATCATCCAAAAGACTCCAGAAGGAAAGCCAGTGACTAGAGTTCATATCATTCTGATGTCACTAGTGGTTCTAGTAGTGGTTTTACTGACTGATAATGTGGGACTTCACTATCAATATGGCCCTTTCTTGTTAGGCTTGGTAGTACCAGATGGCCCGCCTTTGGGATCGACATTGGTAGACAGGTTGGAGACTCTAATATCAGGACTGTTCACACCACTTATGATTACTTACTGTGGGATGAAAGTAAATCTTGTTGAGATTTATGATCTAAGCTTCATGGTATGGATATGGTGCATCGTCGCCTTATTTTTAGGATTGAAGTTACTTGCAATTTTCTGTCCAGCAAAAATGTGCAAAGTACCTGTTAAAGATGCTGCTGCTCTTGCCATCATTATGAGTACACAAGGAGTTGTTCAGATGTCATTTTACTATAGCAATTTTGTAAATCAGACATTTGATGGAGAGACATTTTCCATGTTGAATACAATAATACTAATACAAGCTGCAGCTTCACATCTAATGGTGAAGTTGTTATATGATGATTCAAGAATGTACACTGGCTATGAGAAAAGAGACATTCAGCACACATCACTGAATTCAGAGCTGAGAGTGGTTTCATGCGCACATCGAGTTGATGATGTATTGGCTGTTAGAAAAGTCTTCGAAGCTTCTTTTCCTACCAAAGAAAGTCCACTTTCAATATATGGTCTGCACCTGGTCGAGCTTGTAGGCCGGGCCTCTCCCTTACTGATTGATCACCAATTAGGCCAAAAGTCTTCCAATGTCGCACGTACACACAAAATGATTGAAGTTCTTTATGCATACGAACAAGAATACTCGGGATTGGTCAGCGTGCAGCAATTTACTTCAATATCTCTAACCAAGTTCATGCACTGTGACATCTGTACACTTGCCTTCGACAAATCAGCATCCTTGATTATACTTCCATTTCACAGGAAATGGAATCACCAAGGAAAATTGATGTTAGACAGCAGTGTCTTGAGATTAATTAACACTAATGTATTGGAAAATGCTCCTTGTTCAGTTAGTATTCTTGTCGACCGCCACAAAATACGTCGGATGTCTCCTCTTTCATCTGTTTACAACTTGGGATTAGCTTTCTTTGGAGGAATTGATGACCGTGAAGCGTTGGCTTATGCTAGGAGAATGGCAAAATCACCAGATGTACATCTGACAGTAGTTCGATTTGTTCCATGGGAACTTTATGCAGGTGTCAGCCAATGGGAAGCAGTGCTTGATGCAGAAATATTGAAAGATATAAGAATGCAAGGTGCACACCAGGATAATATCATTTACAAAGAGGAAAGGGTGAAAGATGGGGCTGAAACTGCACTTTTAATTCGTGATATGGAAGAAGCTTTTGATCTAATCATTGTGGGACGACGCCATAGTGATGATATGCCACAGCTGTTAGGCCTTAGTGAATGGAATGATTTGCCAGAACTAGGGCCAGTCGGAGACATGCTTGCTGCTGCTGATATCAATATACCTGTTTCTGTGCTGGTGGTGCAACATCAAATTGTGAAGAAGAAATGAGATGGTCACATGGTAATTTGTAAACTGCAACAAAGTTGTGTACACAGATGGATGACATCTGATGAAATATATATAGAATTAAAATCCGGTATATATGCTCGAACTGTACTCAATATTTTGTAGTAATAAGATTTTTAACACACTGATTATAATATCTTCTTTTAATCGCTTTCATCTTTTGATTCAACTTAGAAATATAAGTTGAAATGCTACAATGGAACCACATTCAGAAGAAGAGCACTACAGAGAAAGTTTCGATCTGTTTGCTAGACAACATCTAGCGCGAATTGACTTAAAATATCTAGCAGTAAGTTTGTCTTCTAAACTTATATTTTGCGTAATTCACAGAGATAAATAGCTCAGAACTTGTTTTTGAGAGTGTCAAGCAACAGCTGTTAAAGAGGATCAATTTGGAGGTCGATCAGAGCATATACTCACCTTATAACTGAAGCTGAAGAAAAATTTATCTGTAGTCTCTTGCTATCTCGAACCACCAGATGTAATTTGAAGTACATAGCCACTCTTGAGTGAACCATTTTTTTAAGGGGAAAAAATAGGAAATAATCTCTTTGTAAGAGACTAAATACAATAAAAAAAATATTCTCTTGGTTCCCTGATCAAAAAAAAAAAAAAAAAGATATGAAAACTTTTGCTATATTCATAAGACTCCAAAAATGAAATAAGTATAACTGAAAGCCTGCTCCAAGTAGCAACTATGAAATCTAGTTTCTAAAAGGTTAGAGTAGACATCAAACTAGTTAGCTACTACGATGCATTACCTCAAGTGAACGACCATGAAGAGTGTCGATCCCACAAGGGCTGGTTTACTTGTGTTTAAGCAATTCAATTATAGTTTGATTAAATTGTCAGTAACACACAAGATTTTAAGAAATACATTCCAAGATAATGAAATCAAAGAAAGCTTAGAAGAAAGAAGAAATCACTCGAACTTGTCCCTTAGAACAATCTTCCGAATGATTTTTGAGCATTGAATCTTCGTGTCTCATTGTATCTCCTCCTCCTCCTCTTCTTCTTATTCTTCTTCTCATTCTTCTTCTCTTGCTTTTCTCTCCCAAAGACAGGAAACTCCACCTTAAGAAGAGCCCCCATCTTAAGCTCCCAAAATTGTTCTCCAAGACCCCCTCAAGCTGTACAATTGAACCCTTATATAGTAGGTCTTTGTTGGGATTTTGACTTTGATCTAAGACTCTATAAAGAGAGCCCTTCAGACATTGTATGGAGGAGTGTATACCGGTTATTCACATACCGGTTTATAAGGCATAAAACATATGAAAACATAATAAAATTCATATGAACTCTGCT